ACGACCGATCATCGCTGGCTTTGCAGATGGGGGAGGCATCCGCGAGCCATGGAGTGCGGGCAGACCCTCCTTGAAGTCGGAAAAGGCCAGGAAGCAGATTCTCCCCTGGAGCCTCCAGAAGGAGCTTGATTTTAGCCCCGTGAGATTCACGTCAGACTTCTGACCTCTAGAATAATAGATTTGTGTTGTTTGAAGCCACCAAGTTTGCGGTCATTTGTTAGCGCAGCCATAGGAAACGGATCCACTGTGTTTCATTGTCACGGCCATGGGAGATAGAAGTGAGGGAGAAGGGGAAGGTTCTGGAGTTCTGGGAGGGAGAGACACAGTTGGTCCCCACAATAAGACAGGCCGTAGGTTTGGAGACAGCCCGGGTTTGAATCCCATCTAAGACAACTCTTGCTGTGTGACCTTGGGGACTCGCTTGGCTTTTCTGAGTTTCAGTTTCCCCATTTGTGCATCGGTAAGCCCTACCACATGGTGTCAGTGGGATCTAAGGGGTCTTCAGTGAGAGAACAGCCATCCTCCAAGCGGTTTGGTTCAAAAATCTTGATGTCATTATGATTCATCCCTCTCTCTCGTGCACACGCTGTCAGCAGATCCTGGCTTAACCTTTAACATCCCTGGAATCTGGCTGCTTCTAACCATGTCCAGGGCCTCCGTCCCTACCCGCACAAGTGCAGTCATGGCCATTCTGGTCCTTCCCACTCTCACCCCCCACCCCCAGTCTGTCCTCCCCACTGCGGCCACCAGAGGACACCAGTGAGCACCTGAGTCAGGTCCTGCCCTCCTCTGCCCACAGCCCTCCAGGGCTCCCACCTACCTCCCCAGGTAGAAGCCCAACTCCTCCCTGAGACCGACTAGACCCTGCATGACCTGTCTCGCCCCCTCTCCGCCCTCCTTGCCTCCCTCTTTCCCCTTTGCCCACTCTGCTTCAGCCACACGGGCTTCCTCCCTCTTCCTCCAACACACCAGGCATGGTGCTGCCCCGGGGCCCTTGCACTGGCTGTTTTCTCTGCCTGGAATACTGTTTTCCTAGACATCTCCATGCTCCCTCTCTCGCTGTCTTTAAATCTTTATGCAAATATCAACTTCCTGATGCTTCCTCTGACCACCCTATTTAAAATTTAAACTCTGCCCTGCAGTATTTCATATCCCCCTTCCCTCCTTCGTTTTTATCTTTAGCACCTTTGTTTTCTACATGGCTACATATTCGCTCACGTGTGTTATTGTTTGTCACTCCCCACTGGAATGTGGGATCTACGAGTGCAATGGTTGGTGTCTGTTTCGCTCACTTCTGTGTCCCATGTCCACAGCTGGGTCTGGCACCAAGTGAGTGTCTGGAAAATAGATGATGAATAGATGAAGGAGATAACACATCAAAGAGCTTAGCACAGAGTCGTGATGTGTAGTACTTGCTCAATAAATGTAAGTTTTTTTCCCTCTAAAGATGTCGGTTGAAACACCTCCTTATTTTGGGAGAGACTTAGAAAGAGAAAAGCAGTCTGTCTGGTGTTACACTGCATGTCAGCAGGGCCACCTAAGTCCCAAACAGTGTAATGGGATGTAAGAATGTGAACAAGAAAATAGATGTTAACTGGCCTGATTAAATCAAATCAAAGTGTTAATACTTGATGCTGGTATGACTGAAGTAAAACTAGTAATGCTCATTCCTTGTTGGTAGCTGTGTACATTGCATATGAATTTTCTGGTGGCATGATCCTGAAATAGTCCTATCCTTTGAGTCAGTAATCCTGCTTCTGGGGATTGAGCCTCAGGACATAATTTAAAGGAAGTAAGAATACAAAATAGTTAGCCAGGTTTAATTTCATATTTGAGTGTATGGAAAATCATGTCTATGTACGTGTATGCATATCAGTTAGCTACTGCTGAATAACAAATGATCCTAACTGTAGCAGCTTAAAACACAGAGATGATGGTATCTGCAGTGCCTGTTATAATCTAATCTTGGGAGTAGTATACTATCACTAATGTTGCATTCTCTTGGTCATACAGACTCTCCTTGGTACAATGAGAGAGGGGACCACCCAAGAATGTGAATTAAGAGGTCCTTGGGGGAAGGGATACAGGAGTGCTGACGCACATGAGCACATGTACCCCAATGTTCATAGCAGCACTCTCAACAATAGCCAAAACATGGAAAGAGCCTAAGTGTCCATCAATGGAGGAATGGATCAAGAAGATGTGGTTCATCTATACAATGGAATACTACATGGCAATGAGAATGATATCTGGCCATGTGTAGCAACATGGATGGACCTTGAGGGTGTTATGCTGAACGAAATAAGTCAGGCAGAGAAGGACAAATATCATATGTTTGCAAATATAGGAGGATTAGGAGGAACTTAAAAGAGGAACAAGGAGGAGAAAAAGGGAGAAAATAGTGGGGGAAAGGGAGAGAGGCAAACCATGAGAGACTCTTGAATGCTGAGAACAAACTGAGGACTGCTGGATGTGGGGGGGGAGGGGAGAATGGGCTTGGAGGAGGGCAAACCAACTTGACAACAAACTATTTGTAAAAAAAAAAAAAAAAAAGAGGTCCTTGGGGTAGCATCTTGTTTTTTTTAATTTTTTAAACATTTATTCATTTTTTGAGAGAAGAGAGAGAGTGCGATCAGGGGAGGGGCAGAGAGAGAGAGCGAGACACAGAATCCAAAGCAGGCTCCAGGCTCTGAGCTGTCAGCATAGAGCCCGATGCAGGGCTCAAACTCACCGACTGCGAGATTGTGACCTGAGCTGAAGTTGGACGCTTAACTGACTGAGCCACCCAGGTGCCCCGGGGAACATCTTGGAGGGTGACTATCATCTTCCGCATAGGAAGAAGTTTGGTAATTTAAAACTTTTTAAAAAATGTTTTCTATTTTTAAGAGATAGACAGAGTATGAGTGGGGGACGGGCAGAGAGAGGGAGACACAGAATCCCTATCAGGCTCCAGGCTCTGAGCTGTCAGCACAGAGCCCGACGCAGGGCTCGAACCCACGAACCGTGAGATCATGACCTGTTAGGGTCAGTGCTGACAGCTCAGAGCCTACCTGCTTCAGATTCTGTGTGTCTCTCTCTCTGCCCCTCTCCTGCTCACACACACACTCTCTCTGCCACAAATAAATAAACATTAAAAACTTTTTAAAGAGGTCAAAAGAGAAAAAATATACAATCATCTTCAAACTTAATATTATTTAATGTTTTCTTTTTTATTTTTGAGAGGGAGACAGAGAGACAGAGTGTGAGCGGGGGAGGGGCAGAGAGAGAGGGAGACACAGAATCGGAAGCAGCTCCAGGATCTGAGCTGTCAGCACAGAGCCAGACGCGGGGCTCATGAACTCATGAACCACTAAATCATGACCTGAGCTGAAATCGGACACTTAACCAACTGGGCCCCCCGGGCCCCCCATGTCTGGTCATTTAAAGACAGGCACAAATTGGACCGACTGGGGCTTCAAGCTGAGGAACAGTGCCGGGGATTGCCAAAAGCCGGAAGAGGCAAGAAGGACCCTCCCTAGAGTCCCCTCAGAAGGAGTGTGGCCCTGCTGACACTTCGATTTCAGACTTCTAGACTTCAGAACAGGGCAGGCAATAAATTCCTGTTGTTTCTTATTCACGATATAGCCCAAAGTGGAAGCAACCCAAGTGTCCCTCGATGGATGAGGGATAAACAAGATGTGGTCTCTCCATACAACGAAATCGTGTTCAGCCTTAAAAAGGAGGGACATCCCGGAACCTGTTACATCACGGAAGGACTGTGAGGGTATTATGCTCAGTGAGAGAAGCAAGTCACAAAAGGACTTCATGACCCCACTCACAGGAGGTCCCCAGAGGCACCCTGTCCACAGAGACAGTGGATGGTGGGCGTCAGGGGTGGGGCAGGGGGTGGGGAGTCCATGCTTCGTGGGGACAGAGTCTCAGTTTGGGGAGATGGAAAGTTCTGGAGACGAGTCTTGGCGGTGGCTGCACAACCATGTAATGTGCTTAACTGAGCTGTATGCTTAAAAACGGTTAAGATGAGGGGCGCCGATTCAGTCGATTTAAGTGTCCGACTCTTGATTTTGGCTCAGGTCATGATCTTGGGGTTCGTGAGTTTGAGCCCCGAGTTTGGTTCTGCACTGACAGCACTGAGCCTGCTTGGGATTCTCTCTCTCTCTGCCCCTCCCCCTGCTCTCTCTCTCTCTCTCTCTCAAAACAAATACATATTTTAAAAAATAGTTAAGATGGTAAATTTTATATTATGCATATTTTTCCATAATAAAAAAATTTCTATCTAAAACATTTGTCACGTTAAGGCCCCAGTTTGTGGTGATTTGCTGCAGCCGTGGCAAACAAACACCCTTGTGTAATTAGAATAGTGGAGACATAAAACGTGCTCATGAATGTGGATTTCTCCCTGCCCCCACTTTACAGCTATGGAAACTGAGGCTTAAAGAGGGAGTCGCTTCCTGGTCTCCTGGAACTGTGTGACAGAACGGCCCATGTCCCTCCCCTGTGGGTAGTCTGAGGTGGTCTCCCATCCACCCACCCCTTTGCAGCAAAAACCACAAACGAAAGAGCTTAGAAAGTGTATTCCTTTTGTTCTTTTCTTTGAAATAACACACACAGGCAGGAAGGTGGGACATGGTGGGGGAGGGGGAGGCGGAAGCCGGGGGGGGGGTGTCCTCCAGCCCCCTGAAACAACACACATCCTCTTTTGCAGTCCTCTAATGGGGTTCCCCAAGGACTTGGGAGGAGTGGAGGGAGGGGGTCCCCAGTTATGCTAAGCTCAGAATCCGACTATAAAGTGCAGAATGTACAGGGTGGGGGGGGTACTGGGAGGGGCTTGGCTTATTTGAAGGGGAAGGAATATCTGCTCCTCTCTGGTAGAAAAATAGACGTAGAGTGAGTTTGGGGCATTTGGCTTGTTAGTTTTGCATAAGCAGATGCGGGGCTCCAGGGAAGGCTGGTCCGGGTAGACTTGCTCCTGGCTCCCAACCCTGAAGCCTGGGGAGAGGCTGGAAGTGCTAGGGGTGTGTTGGGGGGGTCCCCTTAATGTGTCCCCAGCCTCAGAGTGCCCCCTTGCCGGCCCCCAAGGAAGAGTGACTGGGGGTTATCATCAGCCCAAAGGTGGGAAGGGGAAAGAAGACACTGCAGAGCATTTTGGGGGAGCAGTTTCCCCAGGGGGTCAGAGGTGTAGCCATGCTGGGCAGGGGGTGGGGGTATCCAGCCTCTGTCTAGGGTGTGGGAGGGGCCTCTTCTTCCTCCGCTGCCAGCTTTTAGATGGGTCAGGACTTTGGACAAGTGCCAAGAGGGAGGCCAGGACCTGGGCTCCCCACAGACTCCTTAGACCATGGGCTTTGTGTCATCATCGAGGGCAGGGGGGAGGGCCTTGGGCTCTTGCGTGTGTCTGGGACAGGGGCTGTGGGACCCAGGATGCTGTGATTGGCCTATCGGGATCTATCTAGACTTAGAGCCTGAGCATTCAGGATCCAGTGCCTCGGGAGGATTCCGGTCAGAATCCAGGAGTGAAGGGGCTGGGATCCAGTGCTTGGAAGGGTTGGGGTCTACTTCCTACAGGTGGGGTTCAGCATCCAGTGCCTGTGGTGAAGCGGTTGGGGCCCAACAGCTGCAGTTGCCAGGACCCATTCGCTCTGCTGTTGGGCTCTCACATTGTGGATTTAGAAGCCAGGATCCAGCTGCTCAGGGCTTGGGAATCCGAGATCCGGTGGTTGGGGGTTGAGGGTGTAGTGGTTGAAATGTAGGGAATCCAGTAGTCAAAACAGAGGGATCCGGGACTCAGTGTCAAGGTAAAGGAATTCAAGAATCCAGTAGTTGGGGTGAGGGGACCTGGGATCCAGTGGCTGGGGCCCCCGGATCTAGGCATTGCACTGTCAGGATCCGGTGGCTGAGGCTTCTTGATATCCAGAATCCAGTGGCCGAGGTTGGAGATCCAGGGCTGGAAGCCTGGGGATCTGGGATCCGCCAGTGGGCTTGGGGATCTAGGACCCAGTGCAGGCTCTGGGGCCTGAGGGAGCTGGGGTCTGGGTGTTGAGATATGGCGGATGTGCTCCTGTGGTTAGGTTGTCAGGATCCATTAGTTGGGTTGAAGGAGAGCCCATGGTTAAGACATGGAGGTCCAGGACCCAGTGTGTATGTGTCGGGGGGGGGCGGCCAGTAGCTGTGATGTGGGGTGCAGGACCCGGTGGATTAGGTGTAGGGATCCTGTGATTTGGTGTGGGGGGCCCTGGGATCCATTGGCTGGGCCATCAGTCTCCAGTGGCTGAGGTGTGGGGGGTTTCATGATTAGGGTGAGGGATCTGGGGTGGGGCAGGCTCTGGGTCCCTCACCTGGATGTGACCCCCAGGGCCTGTTTCATGTTCTCGTAGACCACATAGGAGATGCTCACAGCCGGGATAACCTTCATGAAGTTGGGGGCAATACCCCGGTAGAGGCCCCACACGCCGTCCTGGGACAGGATGTGACGGAGCAGACCCAGCATGGAGAGCTGGGGGGCGCCCTCGATGGAGGCTGGGAGGGGTGGGGAGGCCAGGTAAGGCCAAAGGGCCCCTCTCACTTCCCCCTCCTACTCCCCAGGCCTGGGCTTGTGGCTGCTGCAGCAGGAGGGAGGGGGGTTAGATTAGCAGTGGGACCTACCACTCAGACTCAGGACCCCTCTAGAGATGGCTGTTCACCGTTCCTCCCCAATCTTGAGGGCCCGAGTTTGGGGATAATGAGAAACAGAGAAGGTATATGTATGTGTGTGGTGGGAGAGGGCACAGACATTTTCCTCTTCCTAGAACTCATCTCTCTGCTTCATCTCCCAGCTAATTCTCTCTCTCTCTGCCTTCCAGCCTCCCTTCCAAAGCAGACCCTTCAGGGGAGCCCTCCTGAGCACCCCAGTCTAAGTGTGGCTCTTTCTCTTCTCCTTTATTCAACCCTAGATCCGTACTGAACTGTGGAATGATTTATTCAACATCTTGCTGCCTTTCCAGCCTGGGAGTTTCTAGAGGGCAAGAACCCAGGCTTATGCACTGATAACACCCCCCAGAGAAAAATCACAAAATACAAAAGCTAAAATTCCCAAGGAAACTCCCCAAACAGATTCAAGAATGTGTGTGCGCGCACGCATGTGTGTGTGCATGTGTGTGTGTGTGTCGGGGGGAAGAACTCATAAAAGAAAAATACAGAGGAAAAAAACCGCCCATAGTCAGCCTGCCCCTGCCCCTCCTTGACCCGATCCTTGCCTTCCCCACCCCCCCCACCCCAACCCGGCCTTGCAAATTGGAGCTCAAGTTAGCAGCCCTCCCAGCTAAGATTGCCAGGACACTCTTCCGGGCCTTGCTGCCCCTGCTCTCCTCCTCCATGTAAAGGGCTCCTGATCCAGGGTCACAAATGGGTACACTGAGGCGCAGAGAAAGGTAGGGACTTTAGTGAAGGCCATCCAAGGCCAGGAAGACCCCAGCCCGGGACCGGCCTACACAGGGAGAAGGAGCTGGGGATGCGGGGGAGGGGCCCTGCCCCACCCTCCCGCCCAGGCCTCACCTTGGGCCTGCATGCGGGTCCGGACCAGGGCCAGGGGGTAACTGGCGATCTGGCCACAGGTGCTGGAGATGGTGCCGCAGGCCAGAAGCACTAGAACACCTGGGTCGGCCGAGTCGTGGCTGTACTGCTGGAGCCACCGGTTCTTCAGCGTCTGTGGGGGCAGAGAAGGGAGTGCGGGTGGGTTGGGGCAGGCGTCAGGCATCCTGCGGTGGCTTCCGCATCCCCCTCTGGCAGCGGGTACTAGCTGAGCGCTTGCTCGGTACCCCCTGGGTGTCACCCAGCGCTGTACCTGCATCCTGTCACCCAGTCCTCACCTCGACCTTCTATGGTATGTGGAAGGACGTCCCCATGCCCTTGACCCTGGAACCTGGGGACGTGGTACCTCCCGTGGCAGAAGGGGCTTTGCAGATGTGATTCAGTCAAGGATCTCGAGATGGGGTGTGATGCTAGAATATCCAGGCAGCTCCAATGTCATCATGGGGCTCCTTATAAGAGAGGAGGGGCACCTGGGTGGCTCAGTTGGTTATGCGTCCGACTTCGGCTCAGGTCATGATCTCACAGCTGGTGAGTTTGAGCGTCACGTCGGGGTCTCTGCTATCAGCGCAGAGCCCGCTTCGGATCCTCTGCCTCCCTCTCTCTCTGCCCCTCCCCCCTCGAAAATAAATAAACATAAAAAAAGAGTCACAGGAGAGATGATGACCGTGGGGGGGGGAGAGTGGGGGGGGCAGATTGGAAGGCGCTATGCTGCTGGCTTTGAAGATGGAGGAAGTCCCCCTCCCCCCACAAGCCAAGGAATACAGGCAGCTGGGAAAGATAAGGAAACAGATTCTCCCCTGGGAGCCTCCCTAAGAAACGCGGGCCTACCAACATCTTGATTTTAGCCTGGTGACACCCATTTTGGACTTCTGATTTTCCAAACTGTCATAAATGGGGGTGCCCGGGGTGCTCAGCCAGTTAAGAGTCTGACTTCGGTTCTGGTCATCATCACACAGCTCGTGAGTTCAAGTCTTCCGTTCGGGCTCTGTGCTGACAGCTCAGAGCCTGCTTTGGATCCTCTGTCGCCCTCCCCTGCCTGTGTTCTCTGTCTCTCTCAAAATAAATAAATAAACATAAGAAATTTTAAAAATGAGAAAAACACACCGTCATAAATGTGCACTGTTTTAAACCACTAAGTATGTGGCCTTTTGATTCAGCAGCCATAGAAAACTAACACCCTCGCCAAGGTGGACACCCATCTTTTTCCCTTACCATTTCGACCCAAATCTGCTGACTCCTAGTTGCCAGCATCCACGGTCCTGCCCGAGGACTCTTGTTGGACCCAGGCGAGGCTGCACTGAGCACCCAGGAATAGGCAGGAAGTGCTGGGGGACCAGCACCCCCAGAAGAAGCGAGCTTCAGACAACCGACTGAGTGTATCGATACCTCAGCTCCCTTGCGTCTCTGCTGGGGCAGGTTCTATGCAGGTGCCTCCAGAGGCCCCCGCCAGGACTGAGCCCCACCTGCCTACCACGACAGCTTTCCTGACAGCATGTCCTTGCCAACACGTTCAATTGTGTCCTCCCTAAAGATATGTTGGGGTCCTAACCCCAGGACCTCAGACTGTGACCTTATTTGCAAAGAGAGTCTTTGCGGGTGTGATGGGTTGGGATGAAGCCATCTTGGAGTCAGGTGGACCCTTAGTCAAAATGACTGATGTCATATTAGGGAGAGGGGACACAGAGACACACAGCGGGGAGAAGATAGCCACGTGGTGATGGAGGCAGAGACGGGACAGATGGGTCTACAAGCAGAGGAGCACCAAGGATGGCCAGCAACCACCAGAAGCCGGAAGAGATAAGGAAGGATTTCCCTCTAAGCTTTCAGAGGGAGCACGGCCCTGCTAAGCCCTTGAGTTTGGACTCTGGCCTCCAGGGCTGTGACAAAAAATGTCTGTTGTCTTAAGCCTCCCAGTTTGAGGTTAGGCAGCCCTCGGGAGCTAATGCTCCCATTTTTGGTCGCCTTACCTTCCCGCCAAACCGCTTGCTCTCACATGCCTGCTTCTGGAAGACCTCAAAAAAGGTAAATACCACTGTCATCTCCACTTAATTGATGCAAAACTGAGACCCCAGAGAAGCTGCTTGCCCACAGCCACAAAAGACAGGTGGGAATCGACATTCCCAGCTACACCTGAGTCCAGAGTGGAGCGCTCCATCTTTAGGGGCAGCCAATGCCTTATGGAGCCTCTATGAGAACCTTCTTTCATGCTCTGGAACTGGGATGGCTCCTTGGTTTCATTTCCTATGTCAATTCTAACCCCTTGGGAATGGCTGCTGGGAAGTGTGTTGAGAGGGACTCAGGGCTATGATAGATAGATTAGTGATGTCTGGCCTTGGGCTGTGATAGATTAGTGATGTCTAGCCTCAGGGCTATTATAGGTAGATTAGTGATGTCTGGCTTCAGGGCTGTGATAGATAGATTAGTGATGTCTGGCTTCAGGGCTGTGATAGATAGATTAGTGATGTCTGGCCTGGGCATAGAGTGGGTACATCGGAAGTCAGTGTTCACCCATTACTGCCTTTGAAATTTTAGAGCAGCATTTGCCAAATTGGTGTTTAATGAGTGTCTTAAGAGTTGTTCTGTTGAAAAGAAGTTCTGATGACTACATAAGTATGGCCAGCACTGGGCCAGAAACCAAAACAAACACCCAAAGAAATCACTGTTCTGTAGACCTGTCAGAGCCTTGAAGGGACTAATAAAGAGTTTGAGACTCCAAGAGGGCACAGCACTCCTCAAACTCCTTAGACCTCCCAGCTCCCTTTTTTGGTGAAGAATGGATCAAATAAAGTCATGTCTCATTTCTGCACTCAGCCCTCAATGGCTCTGTATCACACTTAGGAAAAACCAGCCATGTCATTGAGCTCTTGCTGAATCGGTTCCTTCAAACCACTCAAGACCTCCATTCCTCCCACAGGCCTGCCTCTGGACCTGCATTCTCTGCACCCTTTGCCTTGTTCACACTCCCTCCTGCAGAGGCCAGCCTTGATCCTCCGCCCCCTGCCTGCTGTTACTTTCAATTACACATCTTGTTTTATTATCTTCTGAGAACTTAGCAGGATCTGAAACTACTTGTTGGCTGGTTGGCTGACTTCCCTGTTCACTGGAATGGGCGCCCCAAGAAAGCAAGGATGGTGTTATTTAATGCTGTATTTGCAGCAATCAGCATAGTGCTTAGTGCTTTTGGATGCTTAGTAAGTAGTTGCTGAGTGAACCAGTGAATGAATGAATGGATGAATGAATCAACAGACAGGTGAGTGAATGAGTGGTGGCCTTGTCTCGTTTGGCCACATAGATGCTGGGTGCTGGGGAAGCCAGGTATGGGTGGCAGGTATGGAGTGTTACAGGTCGGGACCAACCACATAATTTGCAAAGCCAAGTGCATAATAAAAATATGTGAGGTCCCTTGTCCATAGGTGACGAGGAATTTCAAGACAGCAATAGCACTGCATTAAACCAAGGGCAGGGTGCTCTGAACATGGGGCCCTTGGCAACTGCCTTGGTCACCTGCCTGTGAGGCTGGCCCTGTCCTGGATACAAAGACTTTGGGGGATGCCTGGGGATATCTGGGGCTGTGCTAGCTGGTGATCCAACCAGGAGAAGGTAAAAGTAATGAATGAGATCTCTGGAAGAGAAAGAGCAAAGACTCCCTATTCGTGCCTCTCTTGATAAAGGCGCTGAGGCGTGTGGTTTTTACGATGACAGCTGATGCCGAAATGGGCAGGCCCTGAAGAAGACGTTGGCCGGGTCCCGTACGTGCCTTGGGGAGGTGGGCATCTTTCAAGCTCATCTTCACCTGCTCCCATGATTCTGTGAGCTACCATGGCACTAGGAGGGGTCGTCTGCACTAGCTTTGGAGGTTGACTGAGTTAGCCCCATGGGAAGGGGGTGTCCTGTAGGCAAATCTCCAAGGAAAGAAAAAAGGGGGGAGGGGCTGGCTGCCCACAGACCTCATAGACGGCCAGGTCGATGCCTGCGTAGGGGATGATACCCAGCACGTTGGGCAGGTAGCCTCGGTAGAAGGCTCGGGGCCCCTCTCGCTCCAGGATCTGCCACGCACAGTCCAGCAGCCCCTTGTACTGGCCGGTCCGGCGTAGGGTCAGCCGCGTCTTCAGCACCTGGAGAGAACCCGGTTACCCCTGGAGAAATTGCCTCCAGAAACATCACATCCAGGAATGAAGACACCTAGAAATAGCTACTTCTAGAAGGATAGACCCTGGCAATAACAGAATTAACAAACCACTTCCTCTAGAGTCTTCTCTTATTCCCAAATCTCTATACCTAGGAATGTTTACACCTTTTGGAGTTACAGATGGTGGCTTGCTCTCTTCTCCCCTTAATGACAGAAACTATAATTTTCAGTAAGCACACAGCTACTAGAAATAAAGACTACATTTCTCATTTTCTCTAGATGTATGGCCATGTGACTAAGTCCTAGCTAATGAAACAGCAGGAAAACAGTTATGTGTGACTCCCAGGAAGTATCCTTAAAGGCAGGAAGGGGTTCTTTCCTTTGTCTATTCTTCCTTCTTGGCTGGAATATGGATCTGATGACTGGAGCACAAGCGGGCACTTCGGTCCATGAGGCGGGTGCTACATTCTGAAATGCTGGAACATGATGGAGGGAAGGAACTTGGGTCTCTAACACTCTGAAGTCACCATACCTGCCTGAACTGCTTACCTCACACTTCATTTATGTGATTTGAGTTTTCCATGATACACTGCAATCCTGATACACTGCAATCCTGATACACTGCACAACCTGAAACCTGAAATGATTCCTCTGAAAACAGTTTCATCTAGAAATGATTCCCCTGGGAACAAACACATCCTAGGAATCAGTATCCCTAGAAGAGGCATGTCTATGAATGGCTGGACCCCATGGCTGCTGCCTAAACAGTTATGACCAACACCACCATCCCCCAGAAGACACATCTCAAATGCCAATGCCCACACACTCTACACACGAAACAGCATCGCTCTCATGAGCTACAGTCTGAATCAGGGAGAGGCAGTTATGATGCCAAGGTCTATCACACCACAGAGTGCCATGGTCGTTGCATGCCTCCCACCCTGCACTGGGGCCTCTCCCAGGGTCCCTCCTTCTCACCTCCATGGGGTAAATGATGGTTTGGGCTGTGGCGCCTGCCAGGGAACCGGCCACAAAGCGCTCTTGCACGTGCAGTGACTCCTGCTGCCCTCGAATGGCCCTCTTGATCTGAAGGTGGGAGAGGTGGGCAGAATCTCAAGTCTTCCTGCTGCCACTTTCAGGGTCCTGCAGACAGCCCCCACACCCCCAAGCCAATCCCACCAACTCTTATGTCTCGCTGAGATCTCCCCCACCTGCCCCCACCTGCTCATAGGCCATGAACTTGATAGCCGACTCGGGAGCGATCTTAAGCACGTTAATCCCATTTCCACGCCACAGGGAGCGCATGCCCCCCTCGCGGATCATGCTCTTTAGGCCCCCCAGGATGTTCAGCGTGTTGGTCTTGGAGGCATGGACCTATGTGGGGAGACGAGGTGGCTTTGCAGTCCCCTTTGGGGGCCCAGGCCTGGGAGGCGGGGAGGTGGGTCTTTCCAGGGCCCCTTACCTGCATGAAGACCTTGAGGCGGTCCAGAGGGGCTGTGCCCGTCCGCGACACAGCACCTGCCACCGCGCCCGCCACCAGCTGCTTCCACCACATGCCAGTCAGCTTCTCCTGCTCTGAAAACTCGTCAGGAACAGTCAAGCACTCGCCAATGTCCAAGACCTGAGGGTGCAGGGACTGGAGTGTCATGCCAGGGGGCAGGGAGATGGGACTCAGCCCTAAATGGTGTCTCCCTCATGAATCCCAGGACACCCAGAGAGTCTACCAGTGAATCACACTTGGAAAGCCCAGGTGATCCCTCTTGGACCCCCACCAGATCCCACCAACACATCCAACCTGACTCCCACATAGGATCCCAACGTCCCTCCTGGGCACCTCCACCAGATCCCACCAAAGGAATCTACCCAAGCATCGACCACATAAAGATTCCTTCCAGAGCCAATCAGATCCCTTTGAAGGATCCCACCCAAGGATGTCCCACATAAGGATTCCAGAAGATCCCTCCAGGACCACATGAGATCCTTTCAGGGACCTGCCATATAAGGAAACTAGTAGACCCCTCTCAGGGCCTCAGGAGGTCCCGCAGGGAATCTGTTCCCCCCAGGGATCATCCCTCCCCTAGAATCCACCTATAGACTTCCCAACCAAGCCCCTCATGGATCCCCAGGGTGGGAATCTCCAGATCTCCCAGGAGGATCTCCCCAGATCTCACTGGTGGATCCCCCTCCAGATGCTATCAGATTCTACTGGAAGCATCACTCAGAGATTCCCACCTAGAAGCTGGCAATCTAGAGCACTCCCTCCTTCACCATCCAGTGGATCCCAGTGGACCCTCCAAAGAAGGTGGCTTTCTTGTGAGTCCCTTCGGCAAGAGAACGATTTACTGAGGCAAACAGAAGCCAGGAGAAGGGGAGCTGTGGGTGGAAGCTGAAGGCTGGGTGCCCCATCTGGTGAGCTCATCCTTCCCTGTGCTCCCGCCTCCCACACTCTGCCCCCAGCACCCCAAAGTCAGGTCTGAAGGGCTCCAACCGGAGCACAGACCTCCCCCCATGGGTCCCTAGTCCCCCGAACACTGGCCAGAGGAAGAAAGGCCTAGAGTCCCTCATCCCTTGACCCTTCCCGGTGGCTCCTTCTTCTCAAGCTCCTGACCCAGCCCCTCCATGCCTGGGGAAGCCCGAGTAAGGCCCAGCCACCAAGCTGGGAAAGCTGCCCCCACCTCACCGTCGAATGCTTCCAGAAATAGACCACATCCTCCACATTCTCCAGCGAATGCAACAGGAAGTGGTCGCGCCATTCCTGCCAGTCGATGGTCATCGTGCCGTCTCGGTCCATGCTGGGGATATGGGGCAAGGCCGAGACAACATCAGTGCTGGGGCTGGCGGGGGCTGGCGTGAGATTCGGTTGGTGTGGGGGTACACTGACTTCCTGTGCACTGCGAGCTGGCCATTTTGCAAAGGGGAAAACCAAGGCTCAGAGACGTGAAGCGGCTGGCCCAGGATCTGCCTGACTCCCACACCCGCCTCTCGCTCCACCTGCCCTGGGATCGGGCCTGGGGCCTGGAGGTTCAAGGTGGCCGAGGGGTCCGGGGGACCTGAATTACCTGGGATTCAGGACCCCCAGCTCCTCACCTGTGCAGAATTTTCTCAGCTTGCTCCAGCGAGATGGAAATACCCAGAGCTCTGAAACTCTGCTGGATCTCGGACACATCAATATGACCTGGGGAGGGGGCCAGGGGTAGAAAAGGGTGTGTGTATGGGGGGGGACCCCTGGAGCCCAGGTGCAGTGCAGCTCAGAATGATGATCTAGCAAGAACAGGGGATCCAGGAACCCAGGGTGAGATTTGCAGCAGGGTGAGGTGGGGGGTTACTGACCCATGGGGATCAGAGAGGTGGAACTGAGCGATGTTGGGGGGGGGAGCTCCTCTGTCCAATGAATGAATGAATGAATGAATCCAGGATAATATGGGGGTCCTTATGCCATAGGGGATTGAGAGGCAATATTAGGGATCCAGAAGGAGCTTTGGGGGGTGTCTATGCCTCATAGGGAATCCAGAAGCAATATGGGGCATCTTTGTCCCTTAGAAACATAAGGGTAATAATAGGGGTCACATCCCAGAAGGGAAAGGAGGTGGGATTGGCCCACGGGCACAGCCACCTAGCTGGGGGGTGAGCAGAGCTCCCCAAATAGCCTGTGAGTCATCGGGGAGAAGTGGCCCCCCCTCCTCGTGGCGCTGCCAGTTCTAACCCCATTGGTGTCTCCAGAGCCCCCGCAGCCCATCCCTGGGCCTCACCGTCCCGATTCCGGTCCAGGCTGTGGAACAGAAGCAGCAGGCGCTGTTCCCGCTCCTGCAGGTAGCGGCTGAACTCCTCCAGATCGAGCCCACCGTGTGGGTCAGTGTCACCCTCAGGGGAGCTGCCCTGGCGGGGGGGGGGGGGGGGGGGGGGGGGGGGGGGAGGGATGAGGGAGCTCCAGATGGCCGCTCCCCATCTGCAAGGAGCACGACAAGCTTATGGCCAAGGAGCTCAGAGTCCCCCAGAACCTAAACCAGGGGAAGGCACCCCCTCCAGCCACTAGCTCCCTTCTCAGCAACATGTCCAAGGCCACAGTCGGTCTGTGGGGTGGAAAGCAGTTGTCCAGTTTTCCTGGCAAGCAAACTGAGGCTCTCCAAGGTCAAGGTTACTGAGCAGGAGGAAGCGGGAGGTAGCCTTGGGCTCTGTCTCAGAAAGCCTGTCCTCCCAGCTGCCTCTTAAAAAAACAACAAAAATCCTGTCCATATGGCCCACTCGGGAGCTCCTGTCAGAGACAGCTCTGGGCAATGTGGGGTAACAAGAGATGCAAGCTGAGCACCCACCCAGCCTCTGTTTTCCCACCTGGGAAGTGGGACGTTGCACTGGAGGTCCCAAGATGCTGTGGAGACACTCCAGTGGCAGCTGGGGCTACAGGTGTCAGGGACATAGATCTGAGGGCAAGTTCCTGCTTTCATACATCCCCGGCTACGGGTGGCCCCAGCAGGATCCCTGGCTGGAGCAGCCTGGGGCATAAAGCCAGGCCTAATGGAATGGGCAGGTCGGGAAATGTAAACATAGAGAGGCCGGGGCAGCTTGCTGGGGGCGGGGATGGGGGTGGTGGTGGGAGGCAGTGGGTGCCCAGAGGAGGGGAGGGCGGATGGGAAGGGTGTGTCTCCTGAGGGGGGAGCAGGGTATGTCTTCGGATGGGTGACAGTTCAAAGGAGGGTGTGTCCAAGGCAGTGGGCTGGAAAGCGGACGGGCTCCACTCGCTGGCATCCCCCACCCTCGAAGCACCGGCGGCAGGGGTGGGGACCGGGTGCTGGCAGCTGAACTGCAGGCCTGGGGCCTCCTTGGCTCAGTCTTGAGCGAACCCGTTAGGCCCGGACACGGTGGGCAGGGGTGAGGGGACAGAGACGCTCGGGCTGGGCATCGGCCCTGGAGCGCAGCCACAGGCACTCCCTGGCGGCGGCGGCGCTCCATTCAGGGGCTCGGGTTACCCGGCGCCCGCAGGGCCCAAGCGCCGCGCGCCAGGCTGGGGTCCCGGCGGGGGTACCTGTTGGGTGTCGCGGTTCGGGTCGCCCCCGCCCAGCCTGGCCAGTCCCTGGCGCAACTCGTGCACGTCCACGCGGCCGTCCTTGTTACTATCCAGCTCCTCGAAGAGGCGACCCCAGCGCTGTCGCCGCTCCGCATCTCCCGGGCCCCCCCGCATGGCGCCTGCCCGGAGGGGGGGGGAGGGGAGGCCCGGCAGCGGCGGCCTCAGCGGGGGCTTCGCGGCTCCCCCTCCCCCCCGGGGCCCCGCAGGGCCAGCACCGCGGCCACTGCCACCGCAGCCTCTGCGCTGCCCGCCTGGCTCTGGTACTTGCAGGAGCCGGTGACTGCTAGCCGTCGCCGCCCGCGCCAGAACTGGCGTCTCCTCCCCCGACCCGCATAGGGGGAGGGGGCCGGAGGCGGAGCTGCGGGTGCGGGGCGGTATGTCGGGGATGCTCTGATATTGCACAGCCTAGGAAGCACCAGGGTTCATTCTGGGGAGAAGGGCTGGAGAGATCAATGGTCTCAATTCTGCTTTCAGAGTTCTGCCTTGCATGCCTCAGTTTACCCTCTGCCCCAAGGGGCGGAATAGAGAGATATCAGAGATTTGCTTCGTAATGCCTTTACACTTGACCTCCCTCCCCTACTAATCCTCTTTAGGTACCAAAGTTCTCGTTTTCCCCAGACATGCTCAAGAACCAACCCGACGCCATCCAGCGCTCAATCTGCCCGCCCGCTCATTTCACATTCCCCGCTCGGCCACAGAAACAGAAAATCAAGAGGCGGCGCTTTCTCCCGCAAGCTTTACATCCCGCCCGCGAGCCTCCTTTCTCTGTCCCACTTAGACTGGGAAACGGAAGATCAACTGGCGGCGCGGCTGCAGAGTCGGTTTACTATTGGCCAGAGCTGCCTGAGCTGCGCCCGCCCGCCCCACCTGGGCGGGGCTTTCGCGCCGACCTCCTGCTGCCTTGGGCCCCCGCGGCTTCTGGCTGGCCTGGCCGTCTTAAAGGGGCCGGTGCAGGGTCCAGTCGCTGGGCTGACTGCTCTCTCCAGACCAACCTGGGCATCTCAGAATCCCATGCTCTAGTGCCGACCGAGACAGGGAAGCCGAACGCTGGAGGCGCGGCGGCATCAGCCTGTCACGCTCGCTGCACCTGCCGAAAGTCCCTCCCACTACTTTTGGGCGCAGTTTCTCGAGTCACCATTAGGGGGAGGGGCGGCCAGAACACATTGGCGAAAAATAATAATAGCTGACATTGACTCACGGCGTTGCACAACCCCAGGCCCTTTACTCACCTCTCGCGTCGTGCTCGCCAAAACCCTATAAGGTAGGTGGGACCGGCTTTCCCATTTCACAGATGAGGAAACAGAGGTTAAACTGCTCTCCCCAGTCTACATGCCCATTGAGGAGCAAAGCAGGGATTTAACTAGACCGGGAATTCTTATCCATCGCTGTATACTCTAAAGGTGGTCAATTTTCCCTTAACCATCACTCTTCACCCTAGAGTTCCCAGGAGGTGGTAGTCTTATTATCATCGTACAGCCGTGAGGACCCATTTAGTCCTGCCCAGACAGGTGTGCTCAAATAGGTGCGTCCCAAAGCCTCTTCTTGAGGGTCCCCTCACAGATATTTTCTTCATAGGTGGTCCTTTGCAGGTCCCCTACTACATGGGGCATACAGATGTTTTCCCACAGAAATGGCCCCAACAGGTGTTTTCTCACGGAAACATCCCTGACAGGTGGGCCTCAATACACACAAGCCTTTGTCCTGACGACCCCCGCCCTCACCATTTGCTTTAATATGAGTTGTCTCATGCAGATGTTCTCAGGTCTTTTTCTCACTTGATCTCAGTTCTATGCAGATACTCCTCATATGGGCTATTCCCTTCATTTCACAGGTATGGTTCTCAACAGAAACCCAGTCAGGAAGGCATCATACAGCTCCCCCACCCGCCCCCAACCCCATAGGTATGTTGCAGTTACGTATACACCCATATGGGTACATTTCCATGTAGCTGGGTCCTGAAAGGTGTACTTAAATGCGGATGTGCCTCATACAGATCTTTTCAATACATTCTACACAGGAATTCTTCATACAAGTGTTGTTCATTTCATAGGGGAGCCATGCAGATGCGTTTCCAAAACACACGTACCCTACACCAGAGGGTCTCAGGCAGCCGTTATAACGCAGGTGTGCTCTAACAGCTGGTTTCCACACAAGTATGCTTCCATTCACCTATACTCCATAGATGTGATTCAATGCAGACGTCTCCCACAGGTGTCCTTACATATCCATAGATGCAAATGCCTTCTATACAGGTTGGCTCGTAGGCTGGTGTGTATCACACAAATGTGTTTTTATTAAGGACCACCCATATGGGCTTGCCCCAGACAGGAGTGCCTCATGCACCATTGTCTCCATGCCCGGTATGTCTCTATACTCGTGCGATCTTACAGATGTGCCCGCAGTATAGGTGGGAGGCCCCTCTCAGACTAGCGCGCTTCCGCCCCTTTTAATTCCTTTCTCTTAGAGAATTGGGTTCCCGTTACAGGTGCGTCCCTGGCGCGGCCCCACCCCCGTTTGGCTCCGCCCTCTCATCTAGGCTCAGGTGCACAAGCCGGAAGTGCGCTCCTCTCCCAGGTGAGTGACTAAACTTTCCGGGTCACGTGAACGGGAGGAGCTGGAGGCGTCCGACAGAGCTACCGACCGACGCACCGAGGGTTCGAGCCAGGTTCTCGGACCAGGAACCTGAGCAAGGTCGAAGACGCCCGGGCCGGATAGGGAGGTAGGACGCTCGGCTCGGCCTGCCGCCCCTCCCCCCACCGCCCTCTTCCCTTTCCCGAGCCCAGGAACGCGCCGCCTCGAGTTAATCTTTAATCTCTGACCTCTGGCGGAGGGGGCGGGGCAGGACTCCGGGGTGCCCTGGGCGGGTCACCCCTCCCCTGGGCCTGCGCCTGAGTCCAGCCCCCTCCCCCACTCCCCGGCTTTTCTCTTTCTCCCGCCCCAGGTGCCGGGTCGCAGGTACCCCCGGCCCGAGATGCGGTAGAAGCAGCGCGCAAGAGAAGCCCGGTTCCCGGTGCCACCAGCCCGTCGCCCGGCCCATGGCGAGCCCGGGCCTGGGGCTGCTTCTGGCGCTCGGCCTAGAGCTGCTGCCCGCCCGCTGGGGCCGGGCCTGGGGACAAAGTAGGTACCCGCTCGGGGAGCGCACAGGGCGGGGCTTAGAAGCGCGGGTTACTTGGGGCCTGGAGAGGTCAAGAACGGGGGAGCCGGCATGGGATACCGTAAGAGGAGTCTCCAGGGGCGATCAGAGCTAGGGGTTTCCATGGGCTGTCGCAGTTGGTGTAGAATTCCTGAGTTCCCGAGGAAGGCGCAATTGTGATCTGGGCGACAGAAGCCTGTACACCTGAGTCTCAGTACGGCTGAGGTGTGTTGGGGCAGACTGGGAGCCAGGAGGAGGCCTGCCTGGGGCTCAGATCCCAGGTTCACCAGGCTGGCCAGAGGTGTGGACTCAGCCATTCAGTCCTTCTATTTCAGTTTCGAGGGCCTGGGGGGAGGTGTGAGTCAGACACTCCAGGGAAACGCAGGATCCACCCAGATCCTTAAAGGCCGAGGGAGGGCCGGAGAGGTGGTGCGGGAGGGCAGGGTCAGCCTTCCAGACACCATCCATTATAGCAGACCCCAACTCGGCACAAACTGCAAACTGCTGTAGGCTGATTGCTCACTGAGGGGCTCTGCTGGGTTGGGGGCGGCATCGACCCGACTGGCCCTTGCAGGCAGGGCACCCACAGTCTCTACCAGAATGGAAAACTCAGAGAGCAGAGTTCTAACCGAGGGATGCCCAAGGAAGGTGCAGTTGTGGTGAGATGGGAAGGATAGAGGATTCACGTTTCCCTCCCCACAGCGTTGGACACCACTGTAAATGACAACAGCACCGTTACACCCTCTGACCCGGACTCTGGCTCCAATGGGGGCCTGGTGAGTTGGGGTTACATGTGGGAGGAGGGCAGCGGGGTGTTATTCAGGAGGCCCACGTGTAGCAGGTGATGGGGCCCAGAGGTGGCGGATGCTTGGGAGGGGGGATCCCAGACGTGGCAGGTGGGAGCCTGGGAGTCCCAGATGTGACAGATGGGACCTGGAATCCTGGGTGGAGGAACCACACCACCGAAAGCAACAGGCTCGGTGGTGGGGGGGGGCCCAGATGCTTCCCAGGGGAGGATAGACAGGGTCCCCTGGCTCAGGTGGGCACACCTGTCCCCTCTCCTGCAGTCTCAGGAGGCCATCACCGCCATCATTGTGGTCTTCTCCCTCCTGGCTGCCCTGCTTCTGGCCGTGGGGCTGGTGCTGCTGGTTCGAAAACTTCGGGAGAAGCGGCAGACAGAGGGCACCTACCGGCCCAGCAGCGAAGAGCAGGTGGGTGCCCGCGTGCCACCGCCCCCCAACCTCAAGCTGCCGCCCGAGGAGCGGCTCATCTGAATGCTGGGGCCCTGCCGCCGCCGCCGCCACTGCCCAGGACTGCTCAGTGCTCACTCACACACAGCAGCCGCCGCCACTGAGACAACGGCCTCTGATGGTTCAGGAGGACTCGGGGGGCCATGGGGCACCTGCCTGGTGGGCTCGGTGAAGCATGCCACCTCTGCTTGACTCTGCCTGCAACTGGGAGTGGGGTGGGGCTGGGGGCCCACCTCCCGGCTTGCTGCACCATCTTCGCTCGGCTGTCAGGCCTGCTGCCACACAGTCCCGACAAAATCCCCTCTCCTTTCCTTCCAGTTCTCCCACGCAGCCGAGGCCCGGGCTCCCCAGGACTCCAAGGAGACAGTGCGGGGCTGCCTGCCCATCTAGGTCCCTTTCTCTCTCTCTCTTGCTGTGTGGCCTTGGGGGAAGGCAGAGCCCTCTCTGGGCCATCAAACCGACCCAGTGCTTAAGAATAGAAGGGAAGATGGTGCTTCAAAGACTCTGCCCCTGAGGGGAAGGGAGGGTGGTGCTGCTCACATTTTATATATATATATATATATATATATATATATACACACACATATATATACACAAATTTGATGGTGAGATATAATAAAATCTTTTTTTTAAGCTGGGGGGGCAGGAACTAGTCTAGATAGAGAGGACAGACTCAGGGCTCATAGGCTGCTGAGTGATTAATTGTAAGGGTGCAAGAATCTTAGGGCTGAGGGGGCTTCCTGGAAGGGAGGAGCTCCCTGCTGCACCTAGGAGCCAGCTAGAGGCAGAGGAAGGTGGTGGATGGGGTGCGTTTCTGAGCAGAGAGAGGGCTCCCTCTGAGATAAACTCACCAGGAAAACCAGCTTTGGGCTCTGTGGCTTTATTGAAGGACTGGGGTCTCCCCTGGGACCCTGATCCTTAACCTTCAAAACACTTTTTCAGCTCAGCGACTCTGGGCCGGCTCCTAGCCTGGGGCTCCGGCCAGTCACTGTCAGGTGCATCAAGGGCTCCTGGCCCCCCCGGGAGCTGGGAGCAAGCATGCTTTGCCAGTGCGACCTCAGGTGGCTGGGATCTGGGGTTCTCTGGGGAACCAGGATTTGAGGAAGAATCATGGGGTTCAGGGGGCTGGGATGTCCAGGTAATATCCAATTTGGGTTTTGTGGGGACCAGAAGTTGGGGGCTTTCTGGAGGGCTGGACTGGGTGGGTGCCGTGGAGAGCTGGGAGCAGGGGCTCTCCTGGGCTCTGGGTTCTTCAGCTGCCTTGTGGGGAGGGGAGAGATGTAGGATTAGAAGATGAGACTCAGAGTCCTCTTGGCTGCTGGGGTCTGCAGAAGCTGGTGAAGACAGTGATGGAAGAATGATTTCATGGCTGGCCTCCAGGGCTGGCTGGAACGTAGGGTCCTTTGAGGAGGTTGTGGCATCCGAAGGCTGGAGGGTTTGCAGAGATGGTACGTCAGAAGGCAGGGACAGGGGCTGAGGCTCTGGTGGTTTCTCATCTTCTGGTTGCCATCTTGGTCTTCCTGCTATGTCAGGCTGGGTGGGGGGAGTGGGGAGACGGGCAAGTTGCTGACCTTTAGATGCTGGAGATGGCTGGCAAGTCTGATGGACTTCTGGGGGGTTGGACAGGGGGAGGGGCTCTCACCAAGCTGAAGCAGCTATCTGTGTCCTCTCTGTGACAGCAGTCCAAGCTCTGGCTGGGCCGTAGGCTGCCCGTCCTGCTGGCTCCCATGCTCAGACTGTCCAGAATCTCGCTCAGCAAATCAAGTTCTTCTCCAGACCCCAGGAAGCTGCTGTCCAGAGCTTCCTCTGCCCATGGGTCCGGGGCATCCTCAGGGCTCAGAGCAGGTGTCCTGGGTAAGGATGGACAGCCCCAGATGTCTGCCCAAGACCCTCAGTCCTAACTGGACTGCCCTGGAGGGTTCTTGAGTTTAGGGACCTGACCTCCCTGCCCCCTCCCCAGCCTTTGAACCTTACCGTTCCCCCAGGGACTCAGAAGGTCTCTCTTCCAGTCGCCGTCTCCTGCTGGGACGAAGGGGCCGGTTCTGCAAAGGACAGATTTCGAAGGTGGGGCCTCAGGAACTACAGGTTTCTGGAGGAGGGTGAGTGTTGAGTGGGCACCAAACATCCGGGTAGGTGAGCATGTGAGCAAGATGTCTGGATGTAGACAGGATGGGAGAAGGACTAGATTGTAATGCCAGGTGTGAGCGTCGCAGGGTGCAGGGGGAGATGTACTTACCTTCCCAAAGTGCTGGGTGATAGGCAGGCGCTGTTGCAGGCAGTCTGAGCGGCTGGTGAGGGACAGGGCTCTCAGGGAGCCCCCCCTTTGCAGGCCAGAGCCCCCATCCTAGGAAGAGGGTGGGTGAGCCCGGTGGGTGAGCCCTTCTCCACTGCCCTGGCCATTGGCCTCTGGCCTTACCTTGTACATCAGAAGGCTCTGCACACCCTTCAAGCCACTCTTGGCCTATGGAGGAGCCAAAAAGAGAATTAGACCCCACAGTGCTTTGACCCTAGGATCCCTGTCTTGCCATCTCTCCACGTTTGTGCGACACAGATACAGCCACACTTCTCCACACACCACCTAAGAAGTCCATATAAACTCACCCCTTGCCTCATAGAAAAGAAGTCCTAGAGGACATAACCACTGAATAAAATGGAGCGTCAAAAACAAAACACTGAATGGTATCAGCATTCAAAAGCCAAGCAACAAATAAAACCTAAGGGACAATATGGAACGACAGAACTTGGCCACAGGAAACTTCTGGGCCCAGGAGAAAAACACAAAGGCAGAGGCTGGGACTGTTGTGTCTGAGGACAAAAGATGTTCGCCAGTAAATCTTGGTTGTCAATTTTAAACGGGGAAGAAATGATCCTGGCAAAAATGAGTGGGTAAATGGAAAATAAAAGCGTGAAGACTTGTTTAACTGCTGGCTTGGTTCTGATAAAAATGTTTGCACTTTAAATGGGAGGTTAAGATGTCCTGTCCCCACGAGGGGTTGACATGTGCCTTGTCCCCTTGCTTCGTAACCCTGGTAGGTGGCCTGTCTCATGTAGCCTCACCGAGCGGTACATGTTTTTGACGGCTGGTTGGGTCTTGGCTTTGACCGAATGCAGGAGAGCACCGCCACCTTTCTGGGGAGAGAGAATGACAAGGGAGAGAGACTTGAGCCTCTGGGGTTACCCCAGCCGCCCTCTCCTCACCCCAGCTGTGCGAGGCTGGACAAGCCCCTCTCCCTATCTAAGTCTCGATTTCTTCTGTCTATAAATGAGCATAATGATGGCCCTCCCTGGGGACTGTTACGGGGTTAAGGTATTCCAATAATAAACACTAAGTAAGTGTGCGGTGTTATACCTTCAGGTTGTCTGCCCAGAGCTGATAGGAGCGAAGAGCGCCTGCAGTGAGGAGAGGGGTGGTCATGGCTGGCGGGTTCAGGCGGGGGTGCTGGTGGGGCGGGGCTCCGGCTACACACAGGGCTCACCTGAGGACGCCCCATTGCAGGTGATCTCCTGCTCAAAGAGATCTGAGAAGCCCTCTCCTGTGTTCAGTTTCTCCAATCGGCCTTCTATGAACTGGGGGTGGGGGAAGCGTCAGAAAGGGTTGCCTCCAACACTTTTGAATTCAAGGACTCGGGATTCTGCCGGCCCTGCATATGTAGAAGCCATCCCTGGCCCCTCCAGGGACTCGCCCCCACGACCCAGGACTCTGGAGGCGCCTCAGGAAGCCAGGAGGAATCCTCTCCTCTCAGCCGACCAAGTCAGGACCAGTCAGGGACCAGACCCCGCCCCTCGTAGGGATCCGGAAGTCGGACTCTTTTGACAGGCCTCCCTCCAAGTCGACCCCACCTTCAGGGACCCGAGAACCCATCCCTACACTGATGGACCCTGGAGTCCAGCCCACCTCCCGAGAACCCAGAAATCCGCCTCCACTTCTGCACGTCCGGATAACCCAGGAGTCCCCGCCCACCGCCTCCCCGGCAAGGGGAGGGCACACCCAGGACACGCCTCCTTCCGAGTCCGGCGCGTACGCCCACCCCGACCTTGGATCCTCCATCCTCAGGGACCCAGGAAGTTAATCCCACCCCAATCTTCCCAGGAACCTGGGAGTAGATCTCATCTTTCAGGAGCCCAGGAGTCAGGGGGTCCTATCTTTAGCGACACAGTTTAGTCACGCCTCCTCCACCAGGGGACTCTGAAGGGTGGCACCCCCCCGCCCCCAGAACGACTCTAGTCTGGCCCGTGGAACCCAGCCATCCGCCCCTCGTGCTCCGGCTCGCTCCCAGGGACCTAGGATTGTCCGCCCCAGCGCCTACCTAGCCCCGCCCCCCCCGGCCCCAGCCCCGCCCTCTGGTTTCTGGCGCACCTGTTTGAACAGCTGCAGGTGCACAGCCCGCCGATGAAAGGCCTGCAGGGGCGCCCCAGCTTTCTGGGCCAAGAAGGCTTCTTCACTGAAGGTCACAGGCTGGCCCTAGAAAACAGACCCGGGACCAGACCTTCCCGTAGCTCTCCTGGACCCCAGCTGTCTCCCTTAGTGGCTCATATATCTATGTAGCAAGCCTGCTTGAGCACTGTGTTGAGCGCCTACTGTGTGCCTGATCTTGCACAGGGTCTCGTGGGCTGCAGGGAGGTGGGAGCCTTTCAGGAGGAAGAGGGCAGAACCTGACTCAGGTGCTCACAGGTGATTTCTGGCCACCAAGGGGGAGGACAGACTGGAAGGGGAGAGGGTGGAGCCCCGTGAGAGAGGACTCACGGGAGATGAAAGCCCTAATCCAGGTGAGCAGTAATGGGGGCCAGAGCAGGGTGGAGTCGGAGGAGGGGAGAAATGGGCAGATTTGGCATGTGTTGTAAAGACAGCCAGCAGGAATGTCAGATGCTCACATGATAGACCCCCTTCCCCTCAAGTTTTTAGAATAGTTGTGAAAACGGGGATGGGGAAGTTTGCGAGTCAGCAGATCCTGAAGTCCTGGCTTCAACACTCACCTGCTGTGGGGCTTCTCCAAGCCTTGGTTTCCTCATATGTAAAATGGGACCATAACGGTATCTATTTCATCATACTGTTGTGAGCATTAAGCGAGATAATAGTAACAGCAAAACGTAGCATTTAGTGAGTGCTCACGATGTGCTAGGCACGATCCAAACATTTTGCATATGCCCATTCACTGACTCACATGACCCTTTTGTGTGGGTGCTAGTGGGATCCCATTTTATAGATGAGCAAACAGAAGCGCAGATTAAGTGCTCCATAAAGGTTAGGTATTATTATTATTATTCCCTCAGGGACCCACGAGGCCTCTCCCTTGGCTTCCCCGCTGCTCACCGGGCTGCAGACTAGCGCATCGCGGTACCCTCCGAAGAGCAGGGCTTGGGCTTTGAGGAAGAGACGGGACACCCCTTCCCCGGGGGCCAGGGCAACCTTCCTTAGCCGCAGCCTCAGCAGGGACACCTGGAAGACAAGGGGGCAGCTGTGAGCCGGAGGGTGTGGGGCCTCTGCCTCCACCATACGGCGGGGAGCCTAGAAGGGGGGTAACACTGACCACGTCTGGGGGCAACGCTTGCACGTCGTCGAAGGGCGTCTCCAAGGT